TGTCCTTCCGTTATCGTTGTTGTTGTTGTTGTTGTCTGAGCAACCAGTTTGGTGGCAACGGCTGTTAAACTTGCTACAAAGTCCTTTTGTCCTTAAGACCACAGCACAGACACGAAAGCTAACAAAACAACAGATGTTTCTCTTTTTACGATTACTTGAAAAATATAGTAAATTTTTGCTTCTGTTCTCAGATCATTTCTATAGCTTGGCAGCGAACGTGTTTCCAAACATGATTTATGGCTTAGCTTGTTGAGCCTCAGGCGGCCTTTTAGCCCAGCTCCTCGTGTTAGAGTTAGAGTTGCATTAGAGCGGAATTGTGGAGGGGGAGAGGAGTTGTGGCATTGTTCGACTCACTAGACTCTCAACTATTGGCACCATTGACACTGACCAGCTGCTTCTGCTGCTGCTGCTGCCATGAACCCGAGGCCTTAGAACCGGTCCTGAGATACCCTCACATCCACATCCTACCATTTCTTTGCTTTTCTTTTCTTCTGCGTTGTTCTTCTGGCATTTTTATGGCGTGTTATGATTTCGTATTACAATTAGCCATACAAAAGGCATGCCGCCTATTTCTATGCGGCATTGTTGCCCCCCTGATCCCTGCTCCCTGCCTCCTGCCAGTTCCTGTGCCCAGACAGCTCATAAATTAAATGCAATGAATTGTTGCCGCGTCCGAATGCGATTCTCTTTGGCCATCGAGTTATAAAAGCTGTCACAATTGTGCATTTAAGCAGACTTTAGAAATTTTGATAACAGCCTGAGAGCACTGAGCTCTCTATTATTGCTATTTGCTGCATTCGCTATTCATTAATGGGTCCGTTTAGGCCAACAACTATCTCTCTCCATCTATCTTCCAGCCTTCTCATTATAGCCACGTGCCAATGGCACGCAATGAATTACATACATACTGACATACATATATAGATATGCATATACATATATACATAGGTACTTCACATAAACAGGTAAAAATGTTAACGCCCGGGCAGCAGTTAAGACAAATAGCCTTACACACCTATCGACAGGCTGGCAGGCTGCTGGCGTAATAGACTAGAGTCTAGAGATGGGGAAGACTTGCTGCTCATGATGCTCCAAAATCAAGGACTCTGTTTTTTTTTTTATCAATACGAGTATTTCGTCAATAAATTATGGGCTGTCGACAAAAAATAAATTCAAGTTTCTTTTAAAATACACATTTATAAAACTATCTTAATTTTCTTTCAAAATATCATTAAATTATTATTAAAATTATTTGTTCTTTAAACAATACTAAAACAAAAACTACACAATTATTTTTAATATTAAAAGATTAAATTAAAAATTAAATTTAAAAAAAATTAATAAATAAAATCTAGTTCATACATTAAAATGTACAATACTTTTCAAATTCAACATAAAAGATAAGAAAGAATTTAAAAAATTTAAAAATTAATAAATAAAATCTCAGCCATACATTAAAATGAAATACTTTTCAAATTCAACATAAAAGATAAGAAAGAATTTTAAAAATTAATAAATAAAATCTAGTTCATACATTAAAATGTACAATACTTTTCAAATTCAACATAAAAGATAAGAAAGAATTTAAAAAATTTAAAAATTAATAAATAAAATCTCAGCCATACATTAAAATGAAATACTTTTCAAATTCAACATAAAAGATAAGAAAGAATTTAAAAATTGAAAAATTTAATAAATAAAATTTAGTCTTTAAAATTAACAATATTTTTCAAATTCAACATAAAAGATAAGAAAAAATTTTAAAAATTAGTAAATAAAATATACATACATTAAAATTAATATTTTTCAAAATCGACATAAAAGATAAGAAAGAAAAAATAGTAAATATATTTACAATTAAGGATTTTATGCTCGATTCAACGTAAGAAGCTAAGCAGGTGCCTAAAAAATATTACTAAGTAGAAAGAAAAAGATTAACCATTAAAAAATAAAAATTGTACATCAGCTCCATTCCATGAATCTTTTTACACCATCAGATCAGAAATAATGTTTTACAAATTTTATAAAAAAACACAAATATTATGCCCAAACCAATTTGTTAAACAACTTTCGCTTTTAAAAGTCTTTTGAGGGAGTTTTTGAAATAATAATATAGAAACCTACCGAAACTGAAGGAGTCTGGTGGCGAAAAGCGAAAGACTACTTTGAATTCCCTGCAGCCGACATAAAATTCGATTTTCTTAGAATAGAGATAATTTTTATTTATTTAATTAGATTAATATATTTATTTATTTTAAATGAATGCATATTTTATTTACTTTCTCAATTATATATTTTGATTTGTTTTTTATATTTTTTAAATTTTATTCATATTTTATTTTTATTATTCTAAGTTAGTTTATGAGTACGTTTTGTTCAATTATATTTTGTGCTTGCCTATATTCTTATTCACTTTTCATTCAATGTGCAGAAAGCTAAAGAAATGTTCGATGAGAATTTTAATTATAGCCTCTTTCTTTATCTTTTCTGATCACTCGCTTTGGCTCACGATGTCCGCCCCAATATACTGCCAGAGGCCAGGTCCAGTCTGACAAGTGTTGGGCCTCGGGCCAGCCCCCGCTTTCGTTACGCATTTTCAATTAGTTTTAAATCAGAACTAATTGAATGCACTTCGGATCCAGCGGCCACTGTGCCGCACAGTTTATGAGATCAAGAGCACCAGCCTGGCAATCTTATCTAAACAGTTATGAGGCTGCCAACGTCCACACCGTCCTTGTTTTGGCATTCTATTCCAAATTTATTGACAAAATTTGCAATACAGATGGCGCATAGGGAAGAGCCGGCATAACCAGTAGCCCGGGAAGGTAGCAACAACTATCGGAAGGCAGCAGGTTGCTGTCCGTCGCCTGTTGATTGTGGCTGCCGGCATATGTGTATGAGAAATATACATATGGATATATACAAGTATATATCGGTGCATAATAAATGGAGCTGCAGCACTTGAAGGCGCACTCCAAGAGACAGGTAAATGGCAAACAAAAAGCTTAGAAAAAAAAGAAATAGCGCAGGCATGTAAATGTCTGCCGATAGTCAAGAGTTCTTTTGTGTGGATTTTCTGGCACGATAAGCAAGCGGATAAAGCCACGAATTGTTACAATTATAGCACTGTGCTGATTTAAAAAGGATCAATCGAGAGGAATGAATTTAATGTCTGCTAATAACTCTGAACTTGGATTTTGAAAGCAATCGTTAAATAAAAATCAGACATTTAATTGAAATCATTTATTTATTTATTATCATTTTGCCGTCTTGGTGGGGCCCAAAAGAAAAGTACGTCCTGGAATTTCCATTGAAAGCTGATAAATGCAATGGTTTTTATGGTATATATCTAGATTATATAAAAAGAACAATTTTCTAAAATTGTATACATTTTTTTTTCTAATTATCGTTTTATGGAAAGCTGACTATTTACAAAACAAACGATCAATGCCTATAATTTCTAAAGATAAAAAATTATATTAATATTACAAAATTCAATACGTATCTTATTTATAATAAATTTTAATTCAAATAATAGGTGTGCAGATATGAAATTGAAAGTCTGTGTTTAAGTAAAGCATTTAAGGTGAAATATTATAAAGGTGAAATAAATAAAAACAGAACAAGATAGAACGCTACAGTCGAGCAAGCCCGACAGTAAAATAGCCTGTACTCTCCACAAAAAAGAAAAATTAAAAAAAAAAAATTTTAAAAAAAAATTAAATTATTAAAAAAAATTAATGAATTAATTAATTAAATTAAATTAGAATATATGTTTATGTTTAGTTTTAACAGCATACATTTACATCACGTACCTATGCGTGTTTATATGCGTGTATGTATGCAGCACAAAGTTGAACCAAAGCAGCAACAACAACAGCTGCGGGCAGCGCTGCCGACAGAGGCAGCGCATGAGCAGCGATTTTACTTATGGCTATAACTTTCTTCAGAATTGACCTATCATGATGAAATTTGGCACACGGACACATTAGTACTAACTGGATGTACATACCAAAATTGATTTCAAAATTCTGAGAATTACGGAGGTTATAAGAAAAAACACGAATTGCGGGGGAGTGGGGGGGTGCATCGAAAAAAAACTCAAACTCGTACTTTCTCGGTCTTAGGAGAATATGGAAACCAAGTTTGGTTATTCTAGCTCTTATACTTTCTGAGATCCTTGCGTTCATACGGACAGACGGACAGACGGACAGACGGACAGACGGACAGACAGACGGACAGACGGACGGACGGACGGACAAGGCTATATCGACTCGGCTTCTCATCCTGATCAAGAATATATATACTTTGTGGGGTCTGCCACGCCTCCTTCTGTGTGTTACATACATGCGCACAAAACTAGTATAGCCTTTCACCCTTTGGGTACAGGCTATAAAAATTAAGGAAGATCTTTCTTTGTAAAGTACGGTTATTAGTTGAAGCATATTCAAAATAATCGGGTAATACTTAGGGTTATCTTCCAAAAAAATGATAAACCTACCGACACTTCTTTGTTAAAATTACTCCGTTAAGTAGGAAAAATTTAAAATTAAAGTATAATGTCTACGCAACAGCCGTCTATAAACATGCAAGTTGAAATAAAATGATAAGTTAGCCAAATTATATTCCTTTTATTAAACGTATGTAATATTTTTCGCTGCATTTTTTCTCCTTCCTTCAGCTAAATAAGACTAAACTCCTAGTTTAAGCTGTATTTGTATTTTTCTATAGGTTTAATTGAAGTTATTGTAAATAACAACAGCATAATTAAAGTTCTACATTTATAAAAAAAAAAGTTCCTTCAGTTGTGATAAAAAAATTTGAAAAATCACAAGCAATTGTAGCATACTTTTGTGCTGGTGTTTTTCAGCACTATTTTCGTTTCGTAATAGACCGTGCTGCCAACTCATCGCATTTCGTATGGCAACAGCGATGCAGCTACACTTTTCACCAAATTGACAGCCAACTGACACGACACATACATACAGACACTGTATACATACGGACACTGGCCAAATTTGCTAAAGAAGAAAAAAAGAAGCGTAGTAATTATCTAATTTTACAACAAATATGCCGCGCGACTACGACAGAGACTACAATGAGGACACCACCGATTACAAGAGAAAGCGGCGCGAGGAGGAATCGACGGTGACCGGCGTTTCAGGCGCTTCAGCACCCGAGGTGGAGCACACAACTAGCCACGCCCACGCGCCCCTACACGATACCCCATTGAATGAAAAAGCCAATTCATATCTGCAGGAATGTTTAATGGAGAAGAAAAGCCTAGAGAAGAAGCACGTAATTACGAAACGACTGCTGGACGACGGTGAGTTCCCACTACACTATATCTATTCTACTTTCTATACGTCATGCAATAAGACGCACAAGCACACACACACATAGGCACACAATTGATAATTATATGTATGTATGAATGCCGGTGCATTACAGAGGTGGAAAAAATCTTAGTGAGTGGCCGCATTCCCAAGCCGGAAATCTACGCGAACGTGTACAGCGAGAAGCCCATACGTGTGGCACAGAAGGTTCTGTTCCCCATCAAGGAATATCCGAAGTTTAATTTTGTGGGCAAAATACTTGGCCCCAAAGGCAATACGTTGCGCCAATTGCAGGAGGAAACGATGTGCAAGATGGTGGTTATGGGTCGCAATTCCATGCGAGATCACGGCAAGGAGGAGGAGTTACGCAGCTCCGGCAATCCCAAATATGCACATCTCAGCCGGGACTTGCACGTGGAAATATCGACAGTAGCACCACCGGCCGAGGCGTATCATCGTCTGGGCTATGCGCTGGGCGAGATACGCAAGTTCATGATACCCGATGCCAATGATGATATACGTTTGGAGCAATTGCGTGAAATGGATGGCAAGGAGCGCATGTATAAGAAATCCCATCATTATTCCAAATCTTATGGCGAACATGGCGCCTACAGCACCCGGTAAGTAACTATATTTAAATTAGCATCTTCAAACATATAGAAATACTTTAAAAGTACATTTCTTTTGAAGTTAAAAAGTACAGTTGCGTACACATAACTATCTGGCATTTCAAATAGAACATTTTTTGCATGTCTAATCAATTGAATATGTTTTTTTCCACAACTAATTAAACTTTTTGCTTCCGCACAGCACTCCCCCGCCAACATCCTCAAAACCCAAAGTATATTCGATATTGGAGAAAGCGCGCTATGTTATGGACGACCCCAATTATGGCATTGTAAAAACCCATAGGTATGCATCTGTCTCTCAATAGAAATATCGGTGCTTAAGTTACGCATTATCCCAGTAGATCACGGGACCATGAACTGTACGATCATCATGGGGAATACGATCGGTACGCCACTCCGCCGCCACCAACGTCCAAACATTCGAGTGGCCATCATGCCCAGTATGATAGCTCGTACGAGCGGGACTATCGCCGGGAATATCATCCGCATTCGTCCTCGTCCTCCTATGCGGCGGCCTACGCAGGTAAGAGCTATCGAATGCTAGTTTAATAATGTCTTTCCCTCAGCAGGATTGAATTCAAACGACTAATAAACAAAAACGCGGTTCCAAATATACTAAACATGTATATATATCGAAAGAAAGAAAGAAGAAAAAAGAAAAGAAACGTAAATGCAAATGCGAAACCCAAAACAAAATACAAGTCGGTTAAAAATCTAAAAATCTGAAAGCCAATCTCAATGCATCTCGTTTATAGAGCCAATGTAAATACATAATGTGAATACAAATGCAATTTAACAAGATTTTTAATGCACTATACCTGACAAAGGTGATAAATCGAGGCTAAAAATTAATTTAAAAAAGTAAAGAAAAAAAGGAGAAAACACCAAAACACAATTTTCAACTCTCCAAATGTAATTCAAACATTCGTACAAAATACATTTCTAAATCATATTCAGACTCGTTACTAAAAAAGGCAATAAAAAACGACAAGAATAACCAAATAAGAAATCAACAAAAAAAAAAATAAATAAAAAACATCGTCACCAGACAGGAAAAGGGAAATGTCAGAGTAGTAAGCAAAACAAAATTACACTTAACATTAAAAAAAAATAACTGTGATGCTACTTTTATTCAAAATTATCAGTAAATGGATCGCTCTTGTATAATAATAATAATGGAATTTATGATAAAAATAAACCACTAGGGTGTAGTGCATTCAAAACCGGTTAAAAACACTTTTTTTTGTTGCAATTTATTATAAGAAAGCAAATCAATATTTAATCCGAAGCTGCAAAATGTACAAATAAGGCACCAAAACGAAAAAAAAAAAACAAAAAACAAAATTACAGAGACGAAAACTTTTTAAAATCTTAACAAAACAACAAATTCTTTTTAAAATAGCCAAACCAAGCAACGGTCGTTCCTCATCGTCATATAGACCCACAACATCGGGCTCGGGATCCCATTCATCGGCACATTACGAAACTGGATCACGTTCTCGTGAAAGCGTGCGTTATCGCTCGGCTCCATATCCAAAAATGCGTTAAACAAATACAATACAACAACAACAACAACAACAAACTACAACAATCTAAAAATAAGGCAGTTAGTACCCAACATTTAAATTAAATTAATCTAATATATATACTTTATAATAATAATAATAAAAGGAAAGCAAAATTCTACATATATGCCGTTATGTTTCAAGAGTCAATAATCCAACCAATATAATGATAATACAAGTACATACATACTACCTTAAAATACTTATCCATACACTTACCCATACCGACCATAACAAACAAACAAAAAACAAAACAAAAAATCGCAAAACAAAAGAAATGCAAACCCATATTTTAGTAATTGTTGTTAAATTTTCGATATGTGTTAACCAAAAAAGAAAAGAAAAAATATATAAATCTAAACCAACAAGCAACTCCAAACGAATTGTAAAAATGCAACCAAATTCAATTATATAAATAGTTAGTCAAGGAGACAACCAACCCATTTATACACTTGTATCTCCATCCATCCATCTCCATCCGATCCATCCAACCAGAAAACAAAAACCAAATCCAAACCCAATCACTAAATTAGCACAAGTTCTTTGAGTTATTTTTCGAAATACAATTAAGAAAATATCACTGAGAAACACCCAACGAGACAAAGTAAGTATACAAAAAAAAAAATAAATAAACGGCTTCAATCCAATCAAAGCAAACCCAGATTTCAAAACAACAACAAGAACAAGCGAAGAACAACAAATTTCCGGCTTCTCCAATATATTCAAAGCGTTCAACGTTCAATAATGATCATTAATTTTTTTGTTTGTTATATTATTAACGGTGTAAAACAACAGCAACAAGAACAACAACAACAATTGTCTAATATACCTATACAATATATATATATCATTATTTTTAAAACATAAATTTAAAAGTACACGTGAGAGAAGGATCAATAATATAAATAATAATACCTACAACTATTCCACGAATTATCGAAAATATATAAAATGCGTTTTCTAAAACAAACCCAACAAATTTCTTGTGTTTTTATTCGATTTATGGAAAGGTTGAGACGATAGGCTTTAAAGTATAAAGTATTATAATAATAATGTACATACATACAAACAGATTTATTATTTAGAAATTTCACAATTGGGTATGAGAATCGCAGAGGAGGGACCACAATAATTTAATTTATCAGAAATTTCACAATTTATTTCCACAATATTATTCTTTAATTTTTCAAAAATTGCACTATTTAATTCTCGACTGGCCAGCGCTTAGGTACTTGGTATGAGAATCGCAGAGGAGGGCGCCCACAATAATTTAATTTATCAGAAATTTCACAATTTATTTCCACAATATTATTATTTAATTTTCAGAAATTTCACAATTTATTTATCGATTTGCCAGCGCTTAGGTACTCGGTATGAGAATCGCAGAGGAGGGCACCCACAATATTTTTATTTAATTTACCACAATATTTTTATTTAATTGTTCAGAAATATCACAATTGCGAAATATCACAGTTCTCGATTTACCAGTTAAAGTTATAATTGTAAGCAAAAATACTGAGCCCATGAAAGACGGGCAAGTACTGCTAGTCTTTATAAATCTTTTAAATTATTATAGAAATCTATTATTTTTAATATTATAGATTATTTGTTATTTGAAATTTATTTATTATTAATGAAATGTATTTAGAATATGCAGTTCAACTGTGGCCAGTGCTAACAAGGAGGTAAAACCCGATCAGTGTTGCAAAATTTGCAGGGATTTAAAATTACGTTTTTCTAATTAATATTTTCTGTTTCAAACATGTTAAGTTAGGCATAGTTTGATGCTCATTCGTGAGCTAAATTTGACATTCAAATAAGTAATATATAATGTGTATGTATCAGTTTTTCCCTCCAACGCTGCAACTAATGTAACGTAATGTTTGATTTTGAAAATTATATTCTTTCTACGCTGAAAAGTCGGAAATTTCCGTTAAATTTCCAATATGACCGGCAATATTCACTGTTTTTGGTTTCAGTCTCTTGAATAATGTAGCCTATTGAATGTTTCTTTAAAACAATATCTCTTTTATTTGAATTTAAATTATAACAGCAGCAATCAGCTGTTTCTTATCGCTTGTTACCGTTTGGTTGCCGCCTCGGCCCATCACCAGCGATAACAATAGTTACCGGTCCAGGGCTACCTGCTCGATTGTCGAGCTCTAACGTAATAATTAATATCAATTGAAGCAATTGAAATCAATTCGAGGTGCAACGGAGAACAACTCAGGTGATTCCAGCAGCCGCAATCTCGACGACAACAGATAATAGAAGTGGCGGCCGATAAGTTGTCGTTAAGACAAGTCATTAAGATAAGGAAAGAGCAAGTTCTCCACTTGCCGGCAACAACAATAACCACAACAAAAATTGATTAGTCGCCAAAATGTTTGGAAGGCTTAATTCCGTACAAATCAGCCGAATACGTAACTTTTCGGCGCTGGTACAGAGCAAGGCGCTTGTGAACGGCAACTGGATTGATTCCAGCAATAATGACACGTTCGATGTGACCAATCCGGTAAACGGGAAAAAGATTGGTAGTGTGCCGAATATGACAGTGCAGGACGCACAAAATGCGATAAATGCGGCAAAACAGGCGTACGAGTCGAAGGAGTGGCGCTCGCTCACAGCCAAGGATCGTTCCAATTTATTAAAGGTGGGTAAATAGTAACGCTCTGTACCCGACACTCACTCCATCGCCTTCCTTCAATCCCTAAACACCAATCGTTGCTATGACAGCTCTATTTATAATTTAGTGCGCCGATTTCGATTAAACTTTAGATATAGCATAGATAGGACTAGTCTACCAACGTAATTTGCAGTCCTTAGCTGCTATAGTTCAATAGTGCTCAGTGTTCATACTGTCGAACAGAGGGATATAGTCTGCAAAGCCTACTCCACCTGTTCAATAGAGTCACAGCTTAGACCTTCTGACCCACCCTTTCGCTATTCGGGTACAGGGTATACACACAGGGTATTGTTCACACTCGGTATACATCTATTTTGGTTTATTTTTAGAAATGGCACAAGCTTATCGAACAGCATTCGCAGCAAATCGCCGAGATTATGACAGCGGAATCAGGCAAGCCTATAAACGAGTCCAAAGGTGAGGTCTTGTATGGGAATTCGTTTGTGGAATGGTTTGCGGAGGAGGCGCGTCGTATCTATGGCGAAATCGTACCCAGCCCCGTAGCAAATCGTGAGATAATTGTGATGAAACAACCGATCGGTGTGGCCGCCCTCATCACCCCCTGGAACTTTCCCCTGGCGATGATCACACGCAAGGCTGGTGCGGCGCTGGCCGCCGGCTGCACGGTGGTGATCAAACCGGCCGAGGATACCCCACTGACAGCCTTGGCAGTGGCGAAATTGGCCGAGGATGCGGGCATACCGAAGGGTGTCATCAATGTGGTGACCACCAACAAGGCGGCACCGATTGGCGATCTATTTTGCAAGAGTCCCGATGTGCGCGGCATTTCATTCACGGGCTCTACTCAGGTGGGAAAGTTGCTGTTCCGGAATGCCGCCGATGGCATTAAGCGTGTCTGCCTCGAGCTGGGCGGCAATGCACCCTTTATTGTCTTCGATTCGGCCAACGTTGAGAAGGCGGTGGATGGCGCCATGAGCTCAAAATTTCGCAATTGTGGCCAGACTTGTGTCTCGGCGAATCGTTTCTTCGTCCAGGCAGGCATTTACGATAAATTTGTGGCGCTGCTCAAGCAACGTGTGGAGGCTCTGAAGATTGGCGATGGCCAGTCGAGCGATATACAAATCGGTCCACTCATCAACAAGATGCAGTACGACAAGGTAAGCGGCTTTGTGGAGGATGCGCGCAGCAAAAAAGCCCAGATCGTTGTCGGCGGCACAGGATTGCCAGAACTGGGCGCGCTCTTCTATGCGCCAACTGTGGTGACAGATGTGCCGCCAACGGCTCAGCTGTACACAGAAGAAGTCTTCGGACCCGTTGTCTCCATTATCAAATTCAAGGATGAGGCGGAAGCCCTACAGAAAGCCAACGATACCAATCGGGGTCTTGCCGGCTATTTCTTCAGCGAGAACCTGCAGCAGGTCTTCCGAGTGGCGAAGCGCCTCGAGGTGGGCATGGTTGGCGTCAATGAGGGTCTCATTTCTGCCGCTGAGGCACCATTCGGTGGCGTTAAGGAATCTGGCGTTGGACGCGAGGGCTCACATCACGGCATCGATGATTATGTCGATATCAAATATATTTGCATGGGAAACCTTAAATACGATTGAGCCCATAAATTGCACAATTCTAATGTTCCAAATGCTTTAATTTGCAGTCTTCCATTATGATGTAATTGAAATTGTTCTTAAATATCTACGTACATGTGTATGCTGTTGAAAATTCTCATTTTGCGTCGCTTGAGTAGTTTACATAGTTTAATTAAATCAATAAAAAAAATACTCGTGCACAAAGTGGAACCACAAAGCTGTTTGACTTTGAAGCTTGATAAGAGCATTTCAAATGTAACAAGTGATATCGATAACAATTGTTCATCGATTGAGCTACCAACAGTGATGAGCACATGCCGTGACGATGTACATCAAGCAATTATTATTATTTGAATCGCATTATCTTGCTTTGATATTTGGCTGTCTATTAAAAGAACTTAAAGTTAAATATATCTTATTCAAATAAGTTTTTCTTTAGTTTAATTCAGATTAACTAATTGTAATTAAGAAACATTTATATTTATATTTTGTATACCCCGAATTGGGAGCTTACTTCACTGAAAAGGGAAAATCTTAAAAACGTTGCATAAGTTGGCTTATCGAATCAACCAATACATTTGACGTCTTCAAAGAAAAGACATATATTGATTTTGATACATCCAGATTATGATTAAATCAGATATTGGTGGCTCAAGCGCTTCTTTGGTTAGGTGCGTATGAGTAGCGCGGAGGAGGGATGCTTTTGAAATTCAGTCTAGAAATAATTTTAGTTAAATAATCTAAATAACGCCAATGAGTGCTGTTTTAACAAAAAATTATAAATTTTTGGAAATTTAATTGATTATTTTCGTTAAACTGGTTTCATTTCAGATTATAAGTTCATCAAATTAGATTGAAAAGACTCAAAACAACTAAACAATAATTTCTCAATTAAAACCGAACTTATGAACTTGCGCCCTGAAATGCACAACTCTCTATCGAAAAGCCGGTGGCTCCGACAATGAGGAACTGGTTCGTTTCGCGGCTTTGGTTCGTTCATTCACTTCTGGTCTTTAGGGCGGTTGGCAGCGGACAGTAGCAGCGACAGCGACAGCGAACGTCGCAGGCGTTTTCAGTTGTTCGTTTTGTTTGTGGGTGCCAACGACGTCGGTTGCCGACGCGGAAACTGCACAAGAGGTGAAAATTTGTTTTCCGTGAAAAACTTTTGCAAAAATTATTTAACACATGCGCGCGTGTCCGTTTTGTTTTTTGTAAACAAATCGTTATCAGCGGAATTTGTAGAATAGTCTGCGATTGGCGCCAAAGAAGCGTTTAATTAAGAAGCAAATTTTTGCTCAAATATAAAAATAATAATAGTGATAAAAGTGAAACATAAACAAAACGCTGATAACAGCGCTTGCAATTGCTATCATCGTTGCGAATCGCCTTTTACAGCCCCGTCATAAATTTGTTGATTGCAGCCAACAACAACAATTAGGACGAGTCAGAAAAAATGATCGAAAAAACTTGTTGAGCGAGTTTAAGAAATTACCAACAACAATCAAAGAAAATTTTCAAAGTACACACGCAGCGCTCAGCTGCGCCGGCATTGCCACTGACCTTTATTTGACTTTTAATACAACACACACACAACGACGTCAGCGGCGACGCGTTGTCGAAAAATAAAAAGATACAATTTCCCAGTCCCTGTCCCTGCCACATAGACATTATTTTTGTTGTTGCTGCTGCTGCTATAACAGCAGTTGTTCCCGTTGTAGTTGGTGTTGTTGTTGTTTGCCGGAGTTTCTTGCAGCAGTGGGTGGCAGAGCCGTTCTTCGTCTTCTTCTTCCGCGTCTTCTGCAATTGCTGCACGCTCGCCAGTTGCCACATTCTCTCATCAATTAAAATTCAGAAATTAATTTAATAAAAGCGTAAGATAATTGAACAAGTGCCAACAAAAAGAAGAGTAGAAGCCAATTCATTGCATGTGTTTTTTTTTATCCTCTCACTCGCTCTCTCTCTCTCTCTCTCTCTACCACTTCTCGCTCTGTTCGTTCCGTTCTTTGCACTTTTACTTTCGTACAATTGCCAGCCTCTTACAAACTTGCGTTAATTAGTGGATAATTTTCTAACAGATTTGTTGTTATCAAACAAACGTTACAGCTGCTGTACTGCACTGATTTATAATTAAGGCAACGTTCATATACTTGTATACACATTTATCAGGAATACTACATCTATATACACACAGATTTAGGTTTTAATGCCTTTTAGCACTGCGGTCACGCCGCGGACTCCTCAGCCTTAAATATCACAGAATTTTCTCTTTGCTGCACCGCTTAAAGATATATTCGCGCCATCTGGCGGTCAATTTTCGCTTGAGCCAGTATCGCTCGTTTGCCCTTAATTAATCGTAACATCAGTTAAGTGTCATTAAAAATGATCAAAAGTCTTTCAAAAGTGTCAAATAGCGCAATTTCAAATGTTACTTTTATAAGTAATATTTATTGGCTAATTTTTGTTTTATTTAATAAGCATATTTTATTATTTCGCCTTTTTTATTTAGCCGTTTTAACTGTATTCAAAAGGCTGATAAATTAATCAAAAAACGAACAAAATGTTTGAAAATAAACAAAATTAATTTTAAAAACAACTAATTAATCTTGAAGTGTGTATATTAAGGCATATTAAATGCCTAACAAAAAAAAATTAAATACACTAAAAAGGGCAGTAAAACAATTTTTGCAACCAAATAAAATATTTAAACATAAATAAATAAAATATTTGAAATAAATATATTTATAATACAAAAAGCAACCATTTATTATATGTTAAATTAAAAAAAAACACAATTACAAAATTAATGAAAAAAAGTGAATTATTTAAAAGGAAATAATTAAATAAAATATTATAACGAAATTAATTAATAATAAAATAATATTGAATAAAATAAAACCAAAAGAAAAGAAAAGTTGTATACGCGTGTTTTCTTCATTAATTCAATAAAATTTTAAATATTATAAATAAAGGGATTAATTAATGAAAATAATTAATAAAACATAAAAAATATAATAAAATCAAAAGAAATGTATATATGTATTGAAAATTCGTTACACATCTTATTACTTAATAAATTCGATCCAATTTTTATAGTACTATACATTTATTTGTATATGTAATAAATTATATAATTAAAAGTATTTAATAATTATGTATTTCTAAGATTTTGAATATAATAATATAAAAACAAGCTAAAATTTTAAAAATAAAATACAAATACAAGTAAAACCTTTACAAAATAACAACAATACTGAAATGATTACGGTCGAGCAAGCCCGACATTGAAATACCCTCTACCAAAAAATCCATCACTGTGTTATATGACTTGTTATATGAGCGCATGGCATAGGCAAATTGAAGAAGAAGAAGAGCGAGAGCTGCTTGTGTTTGGAGGGCGTAGAGTTGGTTGGCTAATAACTTTTTTTACTATAGAACAGATTGATTCAGAACAGATGTAGAAACATTACTTTTGAATTACGTGGGTAGTTTAGTTTAATAGTTTCAGCACTGTCGACAGTATTGATTAAATGTAGCAGGAGAAAAAGGAGGGGGACAAGAAAATGAACTCTTGTTGCTTAGGGACTATAGAAGATGGTAAGTTTGGACAATGTGGGCTCAGCGGAAAATCCGAAATCCAGGCATTCATTCAGACCAACGAACGTGCGAACATCGATTTACGATTACTAAGAATATATGTATCTGTGGTATATATGGGGTTGGCCAAAATTTAAAGTAGAAACTCTCTAAAGAGCTTGCTGTTTAAAGAGTGTCTGGCTAAAATAATTAATTGCATGTTAAAAATTAATCTCCATGTGGGAGCGTTCTTCTATATAAATGTACTATATATCTATATATTTTCGCTGCAACGTCATCGAAATATCTTTTGGCATCTGTCAGCATTATTTCCTGCAACTAAAAATAGATTGAGAGAATTATGAGCAGCCAGCGCAGAGAACAGACGCTAGCGACTGTCATGGTCAAGCGATTGGGAATAAGTTCGTTGTTATCAGCTAAATGCAGTCTGTTGACGTTAATTATGATTATAATAATAATGATGATTATAATGATGGGGCTAATGATGCACGGCACCCGTAACTCTTGTAATGTGGGTCAAGCGCCGCTGCTGGCTGATAAGGGACCGGCAAATGAGATTGAGTTTGAGCGCGATTATGTTTTTAGATGTCATTAATCAGTTGGTTAGGATCGGATCAGCACTAGCAGTTGGGAGGCGCAATGTTGCGCCGTCAAATGTCCTATCGTTTTGAGGACCATAATGACTCATCATATACCCTACGCCCTGTTCGTGGCTAAGTCGCATATCTTCAACTCCTAGACTGACATTATCTCTGCTTCTCTCTTTTTCATCTATTCTGTCAGATGAATCGTCGCTTTTCACGCGTGGAGTCCGGCGCGGATCTGAAGGACTATTTCGATCGTGGCGATATTGCGTCGCGTGAGAATCGCTGGAACTTTGAGGTGGCATGGGAGGTGGCTAATAAGGTTGGCGGCATTTATACAGTTATACGCTCCAAGGCGTATGTCTCCACCGAGGAACTGGGCGAACAGCTGTGCATGATGGGTCCCTACAAGGAGCAATGTGCCCGCACCGAAATGGAGGAACTGGAATTTCCACGCGGCAATCCCCTCTTGGAGGCCGTCAATACGATGCGCTCACGTGGCTATAAACTGCATACGGGTCGCTGGCTGGTCGATGGCAATCCACAGCTCATACTCTTCGACATTGGCTCGGGTGCTTGGAAACTCGATCAGTTCAAGTCGGAGTTGTGGGATAAATGCCACATCGGTATACCGCATTTGGACATTGAGACAAACGACGCCATTATTCTGGGCTACATGATCGCCGAATTTCTGGAGGAGTTTCGCAATTGCGCCCAAGCCTATTCGGAGAATAATGATCTAAATGCGCCACGGGTGGTCGCCCACTTCCATGAGTGGCAGGCGGGCGTCGGCTTGATAGCGTTGCGTACCAGGCATGTGGAAATCGCCACAGTTTTCACCACCCATGCCACTCTATTGGGTCGCTATCTGTGCGCTGGCAATACCGATTTCTACAACAATCTGGACAAGTTTGCCGTGGACGAGGAGGCGGGCAAGCGACAAATCTATCATCGGTATTGTTTGGAACGCGGCGCTACCCATATGTGCCATATATTTACCACCGTCTCCGAAATTACGGGCTATGAGGCCGAGCATTTGCTCAAACGCAAGCCGGACATCATAACGCCCAATGGCCTGAATGTGAAGAAGTTCTCGGCCATACACGAGTTTCAGAATCTTCATGCGATGGCCAAGGAGAAAATTAATGAGTTTGTTCGTGGCCATTTCTATGGGTAAGTAGAGCTTGATTTAATCTATATTGGTCGTCTTTAAAGAAAAAGATCTGAAGATTTGCAATCATTGAATGAAAACCATATTTTTAGAGTTTTTAATCATACGAGTACTAATTGATTTAAAAAGTACAATAGTAACTCAGATTCGAAAGAACAGCAAGGGGTAGTTGAAGAACGGTTTGGTTATGTAAAGTTAGAGTGGTCCCTAGTGGTATCAGTGGACTATTTCCATCATTCTTTGGATACACCTGAGGTCAGAACAGTTGTCCCTTGTGTCAACTTCTGTCTGGTTGGTGCTTAGTCAGCGAGAAGAGGCTATGTATACCTTCTCCTACTCAGAAGCAAATCTTCACAGATTTCATCTCTAAAACTCTTATAAACAATTAGGTATTCGGGTTTGCAAACTTTTCCGTCCTAGTACTTTGTTAAGTTCGTGACTAAATTAGTTTTCTATTTACAGGCACATGGATTTCGAGTTGGATAAGACGTTGTATTTCTTCATTGCCGGTCGCTACGAGTTTGGCAACAAAGGTGCTGATATTTTCATCGAGGCCCTGGCTCGTCTGAATGCCATGCTGAAGCACGAACGCCCCGACACAACAGTGGTAGCCTTTCTAATTTTCCCCACCAAGACGAACAACTTCAATGTGGACTCGCTGCGTGGCCATGCGGTGATCAAACAGCTGCGCGATACCATCAACAATGTGCAGCAGTCCATTGGTAAACGAATGTTCGACACCTGCCTCAAGGGTCATATTCCCGGCCCCGATGAGTTGCTGCAAAAGGAGGATCTGGTCAAGATTAAGCGTTGTATGTACTCTATGCAGCGCGACTGTATGCCACCGGTTACCACCCATAATGTGGCCGATGATTGGAACGATCCAGTGCTGTCTTCCATACGTCGTTGCCAGCTCTTCAATTCGGTGCACGATCGCGTCAAAATGGTGTTCCATCCCGAGTTCCTGACATCGACCAATCCATTGTTTGGCATCGACTATGAGGAGTTTGTGCGTGGCTGTCATTTGGGCGTTTTCCCATCCTATTACGAGCCCTGGGGCTATACACCAGCCGAGTGTACCGTTATGGGTATACCTAGCGTAACAACAAATTTATCGGGCTTTGGCTGTTTCATGCAGGAGCACATTAGCGATCCCAAATCCTATGGCATATACATTGTCGATCGTCGCTATATTGGCTTGGAGGCCAGTGTCCAGCAGCTGTCTAGTTTTATGCTGGAATTCTCCCGATTGAATCGACGTCAGCGCATTATACAGCGTAATCGCACGGAACGTTTAAGCGATCTGCTCGACTGGCGTACACTGGGCATTGTAAGTAGCAGGCTCATAACTTTAGTTATTAAGTTTTATTATTATTCATTTTAGGCATTTAGATTTCTATCTACACAGTTAAATCTTTGAAATAGCTTTCCCTTGTTGCGCACTAGGTCACGTTTCATAGATAATTTCACCCCCAAATGGGGTAAAATATATCTATTTTAATTCAAATTTCATTTAAAAGCGGTTTGTTTACTCTACATTAAAACTTAATGAAGAAGTTTTCATGTGGAGTACGTCTTTGGTACTCGATACAGGTCTTCATGCTTATATGGGGAAAAAAATGGGATTTACATTTTATTTTCGGAATATTACAAAATATTAAGGTGTTATGAAATGCCCACAACGTTATAAATGCTTTAAAATGTGATTTTTAGAAATACCTTTTTGAAATTTTAAAAGCATATTATACATTGGATTCATTAGGATAGCTTTTTTTGGAGTTAGAAACTTTGAATTTAGGCACAAAATTTTTTTGATAAACAAGGATTATTATGGCGTATATGTAGATCAATAATTGGACCTACAACTTATGAAAAACACTTCACATACATATTTTTGGGGCCTTAATCAAAGCAATTTCGTAAAATTTTACCCCCATTTGGGTGAAATTGTGAAAAAAGATCGACTGCTTATTATATTAATAGAAAACGATAATGTTACACAAAACAAGCTTTTCAACACAGTTGTACGCCATTTCCAAAAAGGGAAAAAGACTGGGATAGTCTACAAAATTTTGGCTATTGTCTATTCAATTATTAAATCAGATAATATATTAAGCCATTATTATAATATCATATTTTTAATATTTAAATTAAATTATAAATCGCATTAATGCTTTATTTAAACACTCTCTTATTTGCAGTACTACAGGCAGGCCAGGGTAAGAGCGCTGCAGGCCGTCTATCCAGATTATGTGGATGAGAGCTCTCTGTATGGTTCGCGCAGCAATTTGATTTTCTCGCGACCCCACAGCGAACCGCCCAGTCCCACATCGTCGCGTAAGTTTAGCATACCTTCATTTATGTTAAGTTGAAACTAATGAACCTTTTGGATTTCAGGCCACACTACCCCGGCACCCTCGGTGCACGGCTCCGATGAAGAGGACTCTGTAGATGAGGAAACCGAACTCAAGGAACTGGGCATTAAATAAAAGAAAAGCCAAACTCTCTGAGTACTACAAACAAAACTCACAGCGCAATATTATCATAAGTTTAGTGGTTCCGTTTCAATCTTATATTTGGCCATAACTACGCTCAATTGCCAGATTACCAGATGCGCGTAGTTCGCTTCTTGGTCATCACTTGTCTACCCATATTTTGAAATGATGCAATGATAATTTTCAATTTCCTATGCAACTGTTCGAACAATTCAAGAGATCTTGAACACGCAAAAAAAAAGAGATGATGATGCCTCGTTTACATGTTGTTTAGTCTATAAGCAGAGCAACGTTATTAGTACCTACCCCTATACCTATACTTATCCTTATCCGTACATCCTATCCATTAGGAATCCAATGTTCACCGCATTAAAATTATAATCATACTCGACACTAATTGGGTTTTAAGCACGCGCTAGTTCTAGTTGACGTTATCAAATGGTGAGAGAAATTCTAATTCAATTGAAAAGAGAAAATATATAAATTTGTTAATTGTTCGCCGTAGAAACTATTCATTTGTCAAGCATAACTTGCAATAAATCCTGTAACAAACTGCCTCAATTTAATGAAATGCGTTTTATTTTGAATGCCTGTTGTTGGGAAGAAACCAAAAAGATGATACTTAAAGCATCTTGGGTGGATCGTGTGCTTGGGATCTAAATCTAATATCTAAAATTGTTTCGAATTTTCATCGTTACATTCAACTCGATCAAGTTGAAAGGAAAAAGCCCATTAAATAGCCCTTTTACTGGCTATGAACTGTAATAAAACTCTTTTTAGAGCGTTAAAGTCATATTGTATTGAAGGTAGTGAACCAGATCACATATTAAAATTTCAAAATATTTGTAGAGATCGAGAGATTCGATCGAGATCATTCTCGCCCGTCTTTGCTGGGCTAAGTATTCCTTCTTTTTTTATTACTCTATTTCTCTTCTGAGATTCTCTGAAGTTTAAAAATGAATATAATAATACATATATACATACATACTCGTACAATAGTATTCAAGTTCGAATTCCGCAACAACAGTACATGCCCCAATGAAAACCTAATGAAGCGACAATGAAAAGAATTGATTGAAAAATGCAGATCTATTATAAAAGTTATTTTACTCGTACAATACATATATAGATGGTGATTCACGGCTAGTAGTTTCTATAATTAAGCGCTGTATAATTGGACGGTATAAAAATGAACATAAGTGAGCATATAGTATGTACACAATTAATAATTGGTTAGCAGATCTAAAAAGCTAAAACTGCTGTTTTATGATGTGAGAGAAAACTAATATCCAAAATAATTTCCTTGCAAATAATTTATTTTCATTACAAAAATTCGTGGGGAATTATCTTGATATTACTTGTATTGTTTAAATAATGTGTGTATTAAAATACTTGTAGGTCTCAAATAAACGTATTTAGAGATCATCAGCAATAGTGCAGTGTATAACTAGTTTTTTCCCATTATTCATCTCCCTTATATGCAAAGTAAACACCCCCATGGAATGCCGGTTTCTCAAAGACAGTGAAATTCATCAACACACCGTAGTCTCCAGTTGGTAACGGTAAAGGTATTGCATTGGGCGGTACATAAAAATTCTTCACCAGTTGCACGCCCTATAAAAATGTTTTAAAGTGTTATTCAGAAAAATTCACAAGTATTTTTGATCTATGTATAGCTTTTACCACAAAAGGACACGTATGATTAATCGTTGTAAAATCCTTTACCAGCTTAAAGAGCGATTTCACGAACGGATGATTCCTCTTTCGCAAAAATTCACAAGGATTAAGGGAATAGTCCATGAGCCAGGGCTTGTATCCATTGGCTTTCTTAACCACCTGTATTCTAACCCAAGCCTTATTTATCGGATGTAGTACTTTGAATACAATATTCAAATGGACTTTATTTCGTCCAAATACTTTCAAACGGCAGAGATCGAAAACAACCAACGATTTATTGTACGATTCACAGACTGCGTTTGTCATTTTTAATATTCCTGCTGCGTGCTAAATTAAATCGAAAAATGCTAAGTCATAGACTGGGCTTCACTAGACTTTGGATATATGTATATTTACACTGTGGCTTAAGGTCGCAAGGAAGAAGAGTAGGACTGCAATAGTTCTTCGCTGTCCTTCCATAGCTAGAGCGGAATATGTTTCCCACTTTGCGAGCTCAAAAGCACATAACTCACCAAACTTCGGACTAAGTATTTTTGTTGCTGTCATTACTATTTTATACTTGTAGTACTATAGTAAATACGTATTTTGCAGAACATTAAACAGCTCATTAAACGTTAGTAGTATTTTGTATGTTGTATGTGTGATCAGCTTATAAATAGCTTTTATTTGATATATAATTGGTTTTATTGAAAAAGTAACCCACTTCAGGACTGAAGAGAACTTTTGAAATAGAGCGTTTTGTGTGGGACTTTCACTTAAAATTTAATAACACTGGAAGCGGAGTTATTATCAAAAACTAATTTCGTTTTTATTTTCGCCTATACTTTCAACTAATGAAACAAATTTATAATTGTATACGAGTCCACGAATTAGGACTTGTAAGAAACTTTTGAGATTTTTCAAAAATGTCCTGAACGAAGATTGTAGGTAGGATTCTATATAACGGTATATAACGGACTCTCCATTCTTACATATTTTCAATTTTTCTCTTTTACTTTCTACATTTTTTCTTATCATTTATTCTGCTTTACATTTCGCAATATTTAAGAGCAGAGTGAAATGTATTATTTTGTTAAATGAAAGCTGGCGCTGTTTTTAAGTCCCACTTCATTTATTCTTTCCTAACTACGTGCTCCAAATTCTCCAAAATTATGGTACGTAATTCTGGCTTAAATAAATTTTTATATTGAATTGAATCTAAAAAAAAAAAATCTAAAAAAATAATAAACTTACCTTAGATAACAAATGAATATTGAAAATTCGCGATTATCAACAAGAGAGAAGCAAGCCCGACACTGAAATACCCTGAAGAAGATTGGAAGAGTGGAGAGTAAGATTAAAACGTGCCATAAATAATAAAGTTTAAATTTATATCCACTCTAATAATAATATGCCATAGTGTCAATCAAAATTATTTACAAGCGGTATAAGCCGAGTGTTTGTCTTTATTTTATTATTAGCATTGAAATAATGTGTGCATTGAAATAGGTCTCAAAGAAAGGTTTTTAAAAAATATCAGAAATAGTGCAATATATAGTTATATTTTCAATTATTCGTCTTCTTTAAACGTAAAGTAAACATTCATAGCATACTGGGGTTTCGCAAAGACAGAGAAATTCAGCAACAAGCCATAGTCCCCAGTTGGCAATGGTATAGGAAACTTATTGGGCGGTACATAAAAGTTCTTCAGCATTTGCACGCCCTATAAAAAGTATTATTCAGATAAGATCACAAGTATTTTTGATCTATATATATAGCTTTTACCACATAAGGACACGTATGATTAACCGTTGTAAAATTCTTTACCAGCATAAAGAGCGATTTCACAAACGGATGATTCCTCCTTCGCAAAACCTCACAAGCATTAAGGGTATAGTCAATGAGTCAGGGCTTGTATCCATTGGCTTTCTTAACCATTTGTGTTCTTACCCAAACGTTATCGGTCGGATGTAGTATGTTGTATACAATATTCAAATGGACTTTATTTCAAACGGCACAGATCGAAAACAACCAACGATTTATTGTACGATTCACAGACTGCGTTTGTCATTTTGAATGTCCCTCCCGCGTGCTAACATAAATCGAAAAATGCTTAATTTTAGACTAAACTTAGACTTGTGCTATTTGTATACTTACACTGTGGCTTAGGGTCGCTAAGAAGAAGAGTAGGAGTGCTATAGTTCTTCGCTGTCCTTCCATAGCTAGAGCGGAATATGTTTCCCACTTTGCGAGCTCAAAAGCACATAACTCACTAAACATTAGACCAACTATTTTTGTTGCTGTCATTACTATTTTATAGTACTATAGTACATAATCATAATTACGCAGTTTGCAGAACATTAAACAGTTCATTAAACATTACAGCCATTACAACAACTATACCGAAAGTGGTAGTTACTCGTATTATATACAAGTAGTATATGTGATTTGAGCTTATAAATATTTTTTATTTGATATATAATTTGTATTGTATTGAAATGGTAGCTCACTGAATGAGACTTTTGGTTGAGACTATGTGCTTGAGAATGTGGAGAATCTGGATACCAAGTTTGGTTATTCCAGCTCTTATGCTTTCTGAGATGCTTGCGTTCATACAGACAGACGGACAGAGCGCCGTGGCGGTATCGATTAATAAATCGAAATCGTATCAATTAATTAAATTATCGATTAAATATGTGAAAATGAACGATTTGTCGATTTGTTTTTAATCGATCATTTAGATCTGTTTCTTTTTTGCTTTCTTTCGAATTCGGTTCATCGATATAGAAGGGGGTCTTACGTTTAATTGGCTAAGATCCGCTAGACTTACCTACATATGTACGTGTACATATTTACATATGTGCATATGTTTGTATTTAGAAACATCTTACTTATGTACTTACTTGAAAATAATATTGTTCCGACCTCGAAGACCCAGAATAATTCAATTTGTCTGGGCTTTTAGGCTTGATTCAGAAATAGGAATATCTTTAAATATGCTGATCAAGAAAATATATATTTCGTGAGGTCTGCCACGCCTCCTTATGCCTGTTACATTTTTCACTTTGCAGAAACCTAATATGTGTGTATTTATATTCTTGTAGGCTCTAAATATTAAAAGGGGATTTCCATAGTTTGGGGATTTTTTCGATCTATTTAATCAAAATGTAATATTTAATCTGGAGGTGTTTGGCAAAATTATTTGGCCATTTACCATTGTTATCAATAACAACTAAAAGCTAAATATGTACTTGGGATTGAATAACCTTTTCAATTCGAATACTTTTTGCAAAAACGTGTGAAACGAAGAACAGCCTAACAACAAAAGGTGCACAACCATTGAGTAATGCAAAAGTTTTGGAATACTTGTATATGTACATCCGACTCCTTAGTCATAATACTATATACATCGCAACATCCATACGCAAATACATATGTACATACAAACATACACATCTATTCACGGTAAGGGTGCGGTTGAAGTGTTTAAGAGAGACTCGTACTTATTATTATCGTTATCAGTACAATTGCAGTATTAATCTAAAACATAGACGTACATGTGTATGTACGTGGTTACTCATTTATTTAACAGAAAATCTCAAAGCTCATACATATGTATATGTAAATAAATTATTAAATTTAGAAAAATTTGTTGAGTGGCTCCCAGAAATTGCAGAATTATATAATTAAGTAATGAGTGAAAAGTCTAGTTCTTGTTTCGTCGGCTGTACGCTGATCGTATAAACTGGCGAGGGTTGTCGCGACGTCTTCGCTGGGCGGGCACACCATAGCCATTATCGAAATCGTACTCGGCTAGTTCGTCATCAACGTCTGTATCCTCGGGTTTGGGGTAGGGTTCGGGAGCGGGTGCGGGAGCGGGTGCGGGACCTGGACCTGGACCAGGAGCAGGAGCAGGAGCAGCTACGATGTTGTTATCGCCCTCAACCTCGGATTGAGGAAAGCAATCTATCAGCGTGCCTTCTTCATTTTGGCATTTCTGTGCCTCGAGCACCCAACCATTGCCCCCTTGTTCGGGTGCAGGTTGGGGTGCGCAATTTGAATAGTCTGGATAGTAACCAGTATCCACTCCATGCCCTCCATAGCCTCCATAGCCATATGGCATCGGCAGGGGCTGTGGCGCATAAAACACGGGCATCAGGGGTACACTGTAGCTCTGAAAGCAGAATTGGCAGCGCGGGGGAAGACCTCGCTCGACGACATAGATATAAGACAGTTCCATACAGCGCTGGCAAGTTCGGCGTTTGGAGCGCACAACCTGCTGGCCATCATACGAGTATTCCAGTGTTGGTGGGACACGTTGCCTGCGCTTGCGTGCTGGCACATATTCGAAGGACTCGTGGCAGTTCTCCTGATTGGCATCGCATTGGACAACAAGACGAGCGTGCATGACACGAGCCTTACAGCGCTCTCCGCAGGCACGCTGGCGTTTGTGACCCTCGGCGGTACGTCGGACCACCAGACAGCAGGAGCCGTGTTCGTTGTAGCCCAGTCCGAAACGTCCGCCCACATCGGAGGTGTTCTGATGCACCTGTACATTGTTGGTGTTGCGGACAAGGAGGTCGTTCTGTATGACATTGTTGATCTCATTGGTCACCCGAATGATGTTGGTGGTGTTCAAAGGGGGCACAGCATCCACCGAGGATAAGTAGCCGGTATCGTTGACACCCTGCACTACCAGCGGATGATTGTATAGTTCCGGACAGATCGGGCATTTGTCCAGACATTTATTATCCTCAGCACACACCCTTTTGCATTCCTCGACGTTGCTCTGGCATTCCTCGTACTCCTTTAGAGTCGGCTGATCATAGTTTTGCAATGGGGTTTGCACAATAATTGGCGTATCTTTAACCACATATTGGGCTACAGAACTGGGAAGAGCTGTCGCGGACTCGCAGTGGACTCTAGTAATTGCCAATAGGAACACGAACGGAACGCACAGCTATAATTGCGATAAGATTGCGTAATTAGTCAATTATGGTCGAATATGGTGCAAGCGATAGAAATGTATGAATTGAACTTTAAAAAGGAAATCACTTCAATTCTGCAGCCATGTGCTTCTCGTCTCCTGTTCGTCTGTATGAACGTCGATATCCTTTGAATATTTACAGCTAGAAACACCAAACTTGGCATGTACGTTTGCCTTCTTGATATGCAAATCGAGTTTATTGGAAACCATATATATAACAGTTATTATATTTCTGTCTATAATCTGAAGTTTTTCCTATCCTGTAGCTCCCGTAGCAACGACAACTTTAAATAGTCAAAATTGTATTTTTTATATCGTTATCGTAAGTGCGTGTGGAATTCATTGGCCTTTTATTATTCCCAACAATAATCTGAAGCAAGCAGTGGACTTTTGACAGTTACCTGTTGCTAACGTTCAGATTGGAATTTAATTGGAATGCCGCACAAAGTGTGAACAATATTTTAAAGACATATGCATGTCATGAATAGAATAGCTTTCTTGAACCCTGAGTTGCGATTTCACTGCTACTTCTAACTATCTAAATAGCAAATGCACACTAACCTTGAGATGAAACATGCTGCCGTCTGTCGCTGCCTTTTCAAATGTTATTCTATGTGATGTTCCGGAGTATATTTATTTTGGATTTTATTTTTCACGACAACCTACTACTTTTATATCCGAGCGGTAAAAACATTTGACTGTGCTCGACTGGCTGCATTTCTGATTCGAAACAAAAATGTGGAATAGAACTCGTTGATTAGATAACTTTATCGTAAATTGATTACAAAGCTCGTTGTCAAGAGACTTGCCTTTCAACTCAATATCGTACAGCTTTCACTCAATCGGTTCAATGAATCATATGTACATATATGTATTTCAAGAATTTCAATGACACCCACCAACGTACCACTTATGTATGTCCATACATACGCTTTTTCAAAATGGGTATTCCCTCTCAAATAAATGAATTATGTGTAGATTATTGCAAATACACACCTGGATTAAATAATAGCATACTTTTTCTTTTGCACAAAAGCGTGTTTTTTATACATACTTGCATAAAAAACATTGCTTTTGGTTAATTCATAAAATAAAAATGTACGAATTGAACTTTAAAATTCTGCAGCCATGTGCTTCTCGTCTCCTGTTCGTCTGTATGAACGTCGATATCCTTTGAATATTTACAGCTAGAAACACCAAACTTGGCATGTACGTTTGCCTTCTTAATATGCTGATCGAGTTTATTAGAAAGCATATATATAACATACATACTAAAAAAAAAATAGCTTTTGCTGAATAGAAAAGTTTTTGGTTGGACAGAATAATAGTTGTGCCCAACAAAATTGGTAATAAATAGTGTAATTTTATTATTTATGGTCCCGTATTTATTCTTCATGACTTTTTCGATTCTGGCGGACATAAAAAAAACCAAGTTCTGACAAGTCTCTAAAGGAATGTTATACCAAACTTTTTGAAATTAATCGTTAATAATACTTTTTGCAATTTTGCAAAATGGTTTTTGGCAAACAAAAAATATTTCAGAGTTTTTTTTTTGGCATGCATTAATCATTTATAATCTGTGTTTGGAAAGGCAGATATACATATGTATATATGTTTGTATGGAAGAAGTTATCTTTTTTTTTTGTGGTGTTGTGTTACCCTAGCACTTTTTTCTGGGTGAACCGATTTTCATGGTTCTTTTTTCATTTGAAAGCTGGTGCTTCCCAATTGGTTCCAGTTCTGACAATGGCATTCATGAGAAAACTACCTTAAACATACCTCATTTAGTCCAAATAGCTGAACATTCTATTCCTGAACAAGATGCTGTTACTTCAAAATTATTAACTTTAACTTTTTTTTTTGTAAAAATTTTACTTGTTTAATAGAATAGATAGAAGATCAGCAAACCTCTTGAAGCTCCAAAGCATCACTTCCTGTCCAAATATGATTTAAAAGCAAACTTTATCACGTTTAGTTATTCGTCAGTTTTTCAAAACACTGTTTCTTTCATCTGTTTTCTTTACTCTTAGTTTGTTTTCGACGATTTTTAACTGCATTCGAAGGCATTTATTTTTATTGCTAGCTTGGTATGCAATAGACATACAATTTTCTGAGTTAAATTATCTTAAAATTATTCATTATATCGTAAAACCAAGAATTTCTGATAGATGGAGTTTTTAACAACTTTCTGCATTCTACAGTTTTTAAGCTTCAGTCTAGAACTTCGAAGGAACAACTTTCTTTGAAATATTTGAGAAAAAGCAGATGCTGAATTGCGTAATTATTTATAATTTCTTTATAAGTTCTTTTGAATAAATCAAATGTTTCCGGGAAGACCATTTTGGGGAATAAAGTGGAATTAATCAACTTAACATGTTCTCCAAACCTTCACTCAGACTTTCTCTCCAAATAAACCAATACTTATACCAGGTTAATGCTTCAACTCATAAGGAAGGTAATCAATGGCTATCTATACACTATATATGTAGGTTTTAAGAGATTATGATTAGTAGGTGTTAAGGACAGCAGCATGAAGGAAATTATGGGAGCAAGCATTATTAAAATTTTATTTCCAGTAATTTCTATACATTAATGGCAATGGCTTCAATGCTACAATTCCGGTCTGTTTGGTTAGTAGGACCAACCATCCTCCGAACGACAGCCGATCTGGCCCGGATACTGAATGCAGTATTGCTGCTGATCATAGTAAGCACAGCTGTGGGTGCTGCAGCGATAATTGTAGCAATAGCTGGAGCAGCGTTCGGCCACACCCGACGCACAGCCGCTGCAATCATAGCGATCTGTGGGTGCATAAGATATAGACTAGTTTATCGATTAATGAGAATAGAGGAGGTCACAGGCTTACTAGCTGCTTGCGGACAATCGCCCCGAGCGCGACAAGAGTCGACTTGGTAATTAGGTGGCATTATCATCATTTCGTCATCTTCGATCTGCCAGTTGCGAATGGCCGGCGGCTTCAGTATCATCTTGGGTGCTTGGCAGAAGTCGCCACATTGCCTCTGCGAAGGATTGTAGCATTGCCAGCGAGGACTTTGGCTAGGATGGCGGCAAACGCGTGGTGCTACCACGTGGCAGCAAGATCTTTTGGGTGATGTGGGAGGCGGCAGAGGAGGCGGAGTTGCTTGTGGTGCAGGCACATTGTCTTCATAATCGACGTATTCTGGCTCAGGCTGTGTCAGAGCAATCGAAGTATTCACAACCCAATTATTGACATTGTTGATCACCAGCGGAGAGGCCTGCTTCGGCTGCTCAACTTTGATGGTCTTCTCTAGATGGATGGGCGGCAGCTCGACGTGCTGATTCGGCTCACATCTGTAATTCTTCCAGTATGTGCCCGGAGGACAGTTGGGATTAACACACTGACCGCCCGAGAAAATGCCAGTACCGCAATACACCAACCGGCATTTGTCATTGATGAGCACAGTGCCCGCAGGACAGCGAATGAGGGGAGCAGGTGGTGGAGCTGCTGGGGTTGTCGGTGGAGGTGTTGGTGGTGAAGTGGGAGGTGGCGAGGTGGGTGGAGGCAAGGTGGGTGGAGGCAAGGTGGGTGGAGGCAAGGTGGGTGGTGGTGAAGTGGTTGATGGACTTGTGGGCATAATAATAATAGGCGGTTGATAAGGTGCAGGTGTAGTCGGTTGAGTTGGTGTTGGAAGCAGAGGGCAGGGCTGTACGACGAATGCTTGAGCAGGTGGTGCAGCTGGCGAAGATAAGCCTGAGACGATGCTGTAGCAAGCGTCATTTATATAGACTTGACCTGTGCAAGAATTTAATATACATTTTTCGATGACAGATCAATAAGAGACTGAGCTACTCACCAGTTGGACAGGTGGGCGTATTTGGCGCCACACAGACACCATTCTGCAGCAGAAATGGTGCGTTACACTGCCTAGCGGGCTGCACACATAAAGAATTGACTAGCAAAAAATGTTGAGGACATTGCGAGCTGACCGGCCGAAGAATGAACAGCATCCAGCAGAGTGCCAGAAGTTCCAGCGAGCGCACTCGAACCTGATGCTCACTCATATCGAAACTTACTGAACCGAAATTCGATGAAGCGATGAATGTCTAGAGGGAGCTTAGTCGGAGCATAATCATTGACACAGGTTATCAATAGTCAGTAGTGCATGAAAGAGATAACGAGCAGGCACGACACGTGTGTCGCTGGATCTTCTGCAATGCCATGCTGTGGTCCGGCTCTCGCATCGGCTCAGTCGCAAATCGCATCTAAATTAGACATCATCGTGAAGCGGACATATTGTCAGTTTTTTCTCAAGCAATGTCGTTGCTGCTTGCGACGTTTGTGGCTACGACTTGCGCCATTTACGGAAGTGGTAGTGCTGGCCCGAGCCATCAACACGAGGTAAGATGGGATTAGCAAAATTTAATGATTGCCCCGCATCACTAACATTTTTTGCGTTATCTGTGCCAGGGGACCTACTGTCCGGATGGGTATAAATACGTAAATGGCTTATGCTATGGCTTATGTCCGCCCGGTAAGTACAACTACAGCGTAAACACTTTATGGTTTTGAAATGAGAATCTTGTTGGCAGATCGTTTTCAACACACCGACGGCCTATGTTATCCAAAAATCACACCACCGTGTCCAAATGTGGACAGTCTTAGCACGCCCAGCACAAACACAGCTACCCTACCGACTCCAGTTCCAACCACAACAACAACCACAACAACAACCCCACCAACAACAACGCCCACTGTCATTAAAGATTACAACGATGAGGCACCGCTGCCACCTCTACTGGAACCACAAGCTGAAGAGCTGGCTCAATGTCCAGCTGGCTCCATATTTGTGAATAATCAGTGTCGCAAGCTGTTGTGTACTCGGGGCGAATATATTTCAGGGCGCTGTGTCCAGCCCCTCTGCAAAGAGGGTTTAGTGTGGCGCGGAAAACGTTGCCAGCCGCCCGCCTACCTAACAACCGTGCTCGAGATTGAGAATGTGATTACCAATCGAAAAGAATACACTCTTGTGACCGAGAATGTGAATAATGTGGAGCAGGTGACCGTGCCGCCCTACAATCCAGGGAACAATCAGAGCTATAATGCTGAGGTGCTACCACCCTCCGCACTAGTTGATCCCACCTCGACAACAAGAAGACCGCCAACTACCACCGTGCGAGTGCCAGAACCGAATTATGATGATAATGCTGTGCCCTCCGATGGCTGTTGTGTGGTTAAGAGTCCACGCATCTGTCGCAACTATGCCCCCAAGTGGGTCTGCTTCAATCGCAGCAAGAAGCTGTGCGATCCACGCGTCTGCAAACGCCCCACCATCTACTTAAAGCCACCACGCATGGAGTATAATCCCGAGTTGGGGTGCTTGATCATGCCACCCAATCCACCCCTCTCTGCCTGTATGACCGCCGATTGCAATGAAAGCGGTAAGTTAAGGAATTAGCATGTAGTACAGCGATATAACTTTTTACTCCTACTTACAGATTACATAGATTGTTCGGGTTGTGCGCAGAATCGTCGCGAGAACTGCTCCAGTTCCTGCTTTAACTATTTCTGTCCCAACGGTAATTGTCAGTTCATGAATTCCGAGGACTACTGTAAACTATATCCTGGCAGCTTTGGTTGCACCCAAAGCGATTGCCGCCTCTCGGATTGGTGCAGCAAAAATGTCTACTAGTTCTCTTATATATACGAGTAATTGTAATAGTTGTTCAAGAATATACATAGTGATAGTACTGTTGTTTTGTAAAGTGTTTAGGTTGCGTCTTCCCTTGCCTAGGGCACTACTTTGTCGATGATCTTGGACTAACTGATAAGATTCATTGACTGAGTGTGCTTTTACTAAAGCCACCAGCGTCTTATCGGACCCAGTTCCATCCCTTAAGGCACTTATTCTTCGGTTTTAACCGAACGCTCTCACCCAACGTAACCGAAGCAGACGAACATCTTGAACTATTCGTTTAGTGTTAATGAAATACTGGCAAATCGGGTCAAATATATTTGCGTAGAACAAACTGAACCGAATGTTTGCATTATTTTTGTCAGCCTATTCGGCATCGGTCGAAATCAAGCCCGAGCTGAGCTCGAAACGAGAGCTTAGAATTAAAAATGTCACATTTCAACCAAATATATACACTTGTATGTTAATATACATATGTTGGTTGAAATTGAAAATATAAAACCGAATCTTCGATTTCTCCAGTGGAATATTAAGCTACACAAACAATTGTATTATTCCAATTGTTTCAAAAACTAAAGACTCCAACATGCTTTGCGATATTTAAAATAAAATGAAACTTCTAAAACTAGTTTAAGTTTAAGATCTACTTGTAATTTAATTTAAATCATTATTTTCCTAACTTAAAAAATTAAATTGATCTATCTCCAAGATGTCCCACAGTTTTATTGTCTGGAATAATAAATAACAATGTAATACTTCATAATTTACATTCCTATCTCTTGTATGGTATTGACACAAAATTGATTCCTTTGAGGCTTGGTTTTTTATTTTGCACATATTTTTAGAAATAAATGTTTAAATATAACAGGAATTGCCCGAAAGTACTTTTTAGCGATACTGATACCTGTAGCCTGGAAACCCAGCATCAGACTTTGTTGGTATTTTTCAATGCTGCCAGATACTTAACAGCGCAATCAGCTGTTTCGATTGGTGGGCGAATTCAAAAACCACCGTAGCTGGCTTCCGGAGGTTAACACTAGTACGTTGATATTCAAAAGTAAAAAGTAAATGTAATAACAAATATTTATAAGAATATTCATAACATTTTTACATATTTTGTATATATAATAATTTGTTAAATACGTGTTCTATTTTTAGCACAGTAGTTGGGTTTAATTTTCTTAACAACTTTTCTGTAAATTATAGAATTGCATATTTGAGCAGACCGAAGAGAGATATAGAGACAGACTGTAAAATTTTTCCATTTCATTACAATAATGGAAATAAAAGGACAAAACAATTTTTTTCTACGGCTTGAACTTCCAATATCCGTCTTACAAGTAAACCAAAGATATAATTTAGTTTGTTCGGCATTGAATATAGGAAGGAATCAAGTAACCATAATTGATCAACAGACAAAAAATCCACTAGTCGGGCCTATGTTGAGGAGAAGTCGTACATATGTTAAAAACTTGCTCATACTTTTCATAAATTGCGAAACAAAGACCTGACACTCAAAGTTCAAAATATACAAAGACATCAAACAAAACAAACAAGTTGTGTGTACCTATTCAAATTTCAAAATGTGTATTTTATGTCCGCGCCAATGCATGTGAGCAGCTGATCAAGCATAGCAAATATGCTTAAGTCTGGCAGCGCTTAATTAAAAATACTAAAACTGTGCTGCCAGTCGCAGCTGTTGTTTTTATCCAGCTGCGTTTTTTGCCCCAGCCAGCTGGTCGGTCAGTTCAACGGTGCTTTTCTCGCTATCGTTCAGTCGTTACGCGAGAGAGCAAGCATCGACTTGCATTTTCCCGAGTCGCGGCAGTCTGTTATATTTTGTGCGAGTGTGTGTGTGTGTACTTGTGGGGGAAGCAAAAGCAAAGCCAAAAAGTTTGTTTGAAAAAAGGTGTGCAAATACAAAAAAGGAAAAGCAAAAACAAACTGGCGTCGTTGTTGTCATCGTTGCGGCAAAGCAAAGAGGAAAAACACAAACCGCGTTGCATTTTCGCCGTTGTTGTTTAGCGGTGTTTTATTTTTTTTAAATTTACTTATTTATTTGTTGTTTTTATTGTTGCGTTTTGAAGTCGTGTTGGGGGCAGCTTGTGTTAAACGCGCGCGTGTGTGTGTTTGAAATAATCAACAAAAAAAACCAAAACCGCAAATGCAGTAATATTTATAAATGTTTCCCCTGTGGTTAAAGCAATGTTTATACCACCACCACAACAACAACAAGAAAAATAATAAAAAGCAATTGCGCAAATAAAATAGTAATGTTATGAACGTGTTCATGAGCGACATGAACTAATACTACTAGTATTAATAATAAAAGCGAAAATGATGATGTTGACGAAGCAGTTGATGCTGTTGCTGGATGTTTGTTGATGCACAATAATTTCTTAAATTGATGCTCACACTCTTACGCTGCCGCTGCCGCTGCTCTGTCAACTAACTGCTGTCATCGCTATTTGCGTGTTAATTGAAAAAACAAAAAAAAACAGAAACAACAACAACTACAAACATCCCGTTTTGGGTAGAGGTAAGCTTTGTCACTCATATTCCCCAACCGCACCACTCTCTCGCGATGTATGTATGTACATAACTGTAACTGTTGCCATTTGCCGTTTGCCGTTGCCGCAGACATCAGCATTATTGCGGCAGCCAAACACAAACGCCCTCAAACCAAAGCCAAGTGCCCCTCCCAACAACAACGCTCGTGCACACTATGGCCCTTTGAGTGTAGTAGAGAGAAGTGTATGGCTGTGTGTGTGTGTGAAGTGGAAGTAGCAGCGAGCATAGAAGTTTGTATTTGTTTTTGTGATTTTTGCTGCGCCTCAAAGGGCGCTCGCACACACTTATACCAATACACTGACAAGTCAGTCGGCCAAGTGCTGATATGTTGGTATTTGCCAAGTGAATGCCTCTGTGTGTCTGCTGTGTGTGCGTGTGTGTGTGTGTGCGGGCGGCTTGTTGAAGTTTTTAGTGCAATATTGTGGCAGGCGCATATTTGTTGTTGTTGTTGGCTTTTTTTTCGCATTTTTTTCCTGGTTGTTGCTCCAGCGGGAGCTTTTCATATGGTATGTGGGCTATTATTAAAACGACACACATAAACACACTCACACATTCACAAATGTACATGCATGTGTAGAGAAAGGGGGAAGAAAAACTATTGTCTGTACATATGTATGTATGTATGTTTGTAGGTGCGAATGTATGTATATATTTGTGAATGTGTGCGTGTGTGTCTGCTTATGAGGCGTTGGCGTTTTGGTCTGAAGAAGAAGAGGCAGCTGCTGCTGCAGGAATGTGCACAAAAAAAACAACAATAACAAGAAGAAAACAGGGGGTGGGCAACAAACCCTCCCAGCTATGTATCTACGTATAGGTATTCCACGTAAATCAGAAATGGTTTAGAAATAATGTGCAATGTACGCTAAAAAGTTAAAGCTTAAGCTGAAGTGAAATGTATTGAAGCTACATACTCGTATGTACTTACATAGTTCTAGTATCTGGTGGTTCATTTAATTGCAGAGCTTTGGTTCGCATTGATCTACAGTGAAAACTCTCTTGGCCGGACTCTCGCGCTCGGTCAATTTTTGTGTGCCCAAAGGGAGTATCCGCTTAAATACTTTATACGCCAATTGAATGCTTTAGAAAAAGCGGACAAAAGCGGTGTCCATTAAGGGAGTTTTCACTGTAATTAAGTGCTGAGGAGGGAGATAAATTTAAGAAAACAAAAAAATTCAGACAAACTTTGTGAAGAGTACCACTATTATTATATTGAGTGCAAATGGAATTATAGATTCTATAATTATATACTGTAGTATAGAACTTTTATATAATTATAACCATTTTTGAAATCGTTGCTAATTAGCTGGCATGGCAAAATCACACAACTCAACATAAAAATTGAAATTAAAAAATAATACTTGTAATAAATAATAAAAAATTGAAATTGCTGTGCATATTAAAACTTCGACACATTCATAAAAAGGAGTAGTTAAGGAAGAGATAAGTGGTAATTTTGTACCGTTAGACCAACTGTACTTATTATGAGACTCGAAAAATCCCTTCAATTCTAGTCGTTGTTAAGTAGTTGTCAACAGCTGTATGTACATAATAAATAAATTGTGTATTTTGTTTGGTGAAAAAGGCTTTAATAAAATAAAATACCCCAAATACTTGCATCTTCAAAACAACTAAGCATGAAGGTTCGCGCAATATAATATGGGCCTGTTTTACGTACAATAGATTGGGTCTGATAGATTAGGTTGCAGCACATATTGGACCAACATGCTTTAAGGTCAATTTAAAAACGCCGATGCAATAGGTCTTCCAAAGGCGAACGGTATTGCCACCAAAGGACATGCCACATTATTACATTTAACGCGCATTTTAAACATATTTCCCTAGGAACTGTTCACAAATTCTCATGTATTTTTGCAAACGCTTCAATTTTGCTGTTAAAAATTTTCTTTGAAGTAAAAATATCTTTAAAACCTTTTCATTACATTAAGAAAATTGGTCGTTTCCTTTGAATGATTCTTAAAGAAGCTTGAGGATTGCTGTATAGAAGATTGAAATACCATCGCAGACAATTGCTTAATGGATGGATGCTGTTTGTACATAGCATGTACATACATATATACATCTGTACATAGATACCCATCTAAGCAAGCAGCGTTCGCTCTGAGCATAGAAGTTAATAAATAAATCAAATAAAGCATAGAAATGTGAAATGACAAAAAATAAAATAGAAATAAAAATAAACAATAAAATTGGATGCGGAAACGCAACTCACTCACTCGCCAATATGTATGTGTGTGTGTGTATGTATGAATGATTGTATATGTGTGTGTGTGTGTGAATGAATACAAGTATGTTGTTTGTATGTATGTGCGTGTCGCTCTGTTTGTCTATCTGTTCTGACTTTTGAGTTTTGGAGTCCCCCTCTCCCTACCCCACCCCATACACTTGTTAAACATAAACGCGACGCTTTGTTGGCATTTGCCATATGTGTGTTGTTCATGTGTGTGTGTGTGTGTGTGCGTTTGTAAAAGAGAGTTGTTGTTGTTGTTATTGCTGCTGCTGCTGCTGTTTGTGTAATAAAACGTTTTACGGCTGCCTCCGCCGACTGCTTATGTTGTTGTTTTTATGACAGTTAAGCTATTTTGCGTATGACAAGTTTGACAGATGCCAGCACGAGCTGATGTTGCTGTTTTTGTTGTTGTTGCTGCTGCTGTCAACACTGCTGTTAAATGCAGCGTTACACACAGACACACATACCCAACACCCCCACTCACACCTACAACCTCAACCTCAACCCCAACCTCAGCGCCAAACCTCAGGCGCTCGACACTGCCAGCACCCCTTTTAGGTGCTGTGGCCAGACCCCAAAAGTTTTTGTTTGCTGGCTTTTGCTGTTTATGTGTTTTAATTTCTGCGCCCATTAGACGCACACACACACACACACACTCACGCAGTAATACACACACACACTCGCACACACAAGCGTGCTGGCACAGATGTGAAGTCTTTGCCGAGGCCGAAGCTACTTTTACGCATATTTTCGCGCAACGCCAAAGACAATGATGATGACGGCTGTGTTGTTCTTGTTCTTGTTGTTGTAACTCTTTGCTTGGCATAAATTGCGTCTGCCAAATGTGGCAAACAACAACAATTGCTCTGCCACGCCTACAAAACGGAGCAAAATCAACCAACGACTTCAAAACACGCTCTACAAAAAAAAAAATCATTTATCAATTTTAAAAAACTCTTTTAAATTAGTAATGTAGGTTCAAAATGAACATTGACTTTATGCTTTGGAAACAAATTCAAACGTTACATACGCTTCCACATTTTCAGAATACTCTTTTTGGTTTTAGTTTATAGGGCATACTTGAAAAACAACAGCAGCCTCGTAATTGCTGGCCACAACGTAAACGAAAATAGCACACTGTGCGACTGTTCATGGCAGCTTGGGCACAGTGGTGTGGGCGATATTTGATTTAAGCATATTGAAAAGTAATAAGTGGATAATTAGTGGATAAGTGTGCTTCGAAATCAGCCAAGGCGTGGGTAATAACTTCTAGCTAATTGGTTTTGCCAGAGATATAAAAGATTTATGAACAAAAAGAACCTCTTAAGTGGTAATAAACGAGTGTGAGTTTTCAAATGATGATTCATTATACACAAATATTGCAATGGTATATTAATTTGCTTATATGTAGAATAGGACGGGGGTCTTACTAAGTAACTGCTAAGCAGCTCAAGCCCGGTCGGACTGCTCACAAACTTGATTTTAATTCTATTCATTACCATTGCTTCTAAAAGTTAAATCAAATTCAATGCGAAATACAAATAAATTTCAAATTTTTATATTTACCAATTTTTATTTCAAATAATTAAATTGAATTTTAAAGTGGAAACACGTCGGATTGAATTCATCTAAGAGGTAAATCTTGGAGCTATTTCAGCGAATTACTTCAAAGTTTTGTAAAAATGTTTGTAGTTAATTATTATGAAATTTAAAAGATCGATTTTTTATGTGAAAGTTCATCAAAATATTTATTGGTATACATTATCTGTCCGTAACTAATGTTAAATACATGTTCCTCATATTCATGATTGTTTGCTTTATTTTGTCATATAACACAACATAAACATTTATTGTAGCAAATATTTTGATCTTAGAGAAAGGCTATTTAGTAGATTATTTTATTAAACGATTATGTATTTTGATTTTGTGTATCGATTATTAAAATAAAAAATCTATCTCTCAGTAAGTTGCAGGTCTTGTTCTTAATTAGAACTTAGAACATGCCATACTTTATTTTCTGTTAACATCAATCTACAAGTATATAGCTGAAAGAATTACATAACTTAACAACTTACTTACCTATATATGTATGTAGCTGAGATAAATTAATGGAAATTTTCTTATATTCAGAATTTTCTACCGTTCTTGAAATTTTTTGTATTGAAGCCGGCCCTTCAAATGAATAGTGCAAATACTTATTATAATAAATTAATTTTCAGCCCAGTGTGCGTTATCAATTTATATTAATGTTAAGTTGTAGATATTTATTTATTTGAGTGTGCTAATTGATATTTATGGGCAATTATCATCTGCTTAAGTCGCCCCAAAGTGCCAATTGTATTCGTAAAGTTCTGCGCCTATTATATAAGCAGTCTGATGCGTATGCACAAAAATGCGCAAAACTGTTAATTCGCTTTACGTTTAACAACAACAATAACAATTTAATTACGCCTTTATAGACGGATTAATAAAGAACTTGAGGCAATGTTAATAAATTTAATTACATTTTATCCACAATTCAATTTGGCACAGATTCCCACTCTCAAAAGCCCAGTGTGCTTGCTGCCCGGCCGAGTTGTTGTTGTTGTTGGGCTGTAACTGAAAACCGCAAGCCTGTCAAGCGGCTCTCTTCTTCGACACTCCTCTCTCGCACTCGTGCACGAGCTGCGGCTTTTGCGCTCCCACTGTGTAAAAGTATCTCTTTGCCGTTATTGTTGTTG